AGGTAACTTTCCACCTTCAGGGGTGTCCTTCAGAAAAAAAAAATTAATTCCTACACACGCCAGTTTCAATACAACCGGAACAATCTACATGTCAGAAGAAAGGTTATTAAATGAGGTTTATGATAAAAATACAATTTAAGCAAGGTTTTATTTTAAGAACTCCAGGAGCCGGTAAGATGTGAAACAAAAGAGGGTTGTTCTATTGAGTTTATTGGTTATTGGGTGCTGCAACACAAGCAAAATGGCTGCACAGTCTTATTTTGATATTTTTTGATATCCTGATGGGTTGTCTAGATATTGGCATCTTAAGCTGGAGTACCTAAAAATATGCCTGATGTGTTGCATAAATGGACACAAACAAATTCAAAGTGTGTGGGGAAATTTTGATATTTTGCATGTTTTTCCTGTGGTGGCCATAAATCCATCAATTCTGCATACCCTTTAAACTCAATCAAGTAAACAGTATTCTGTAACACATTTGTTTCTTAAAAGTAACAACTTGTCTATGTTGATGCCAGAGATCCAAAAAAATGTATGTTACATAATTCACCTATTTCTACACCTTTATCTTTCCAGTGATTGCCTTCTCACGTGTAGCAATTCAACTCCCAGATACTTACATTGAAAAACAAAAATCTCCAACCGAATGGAACAAACTATGCAAAAGCCCACAAATACGCATTTCAGACCTATTTTTTGTTCATTTACAGTGTTTCCGCCAGACCGCGCCATTGCGGGAATCCCACGTCGTAATCAGAGATGGGCCCCAAGAAAAACGAAAAAAGGGCCCATTTTGCCCTTTCCTTTTTCAAGGCTACAGGCTTAACACAGGCATAGTATTCTAAAAGATATCCCAGGGCTCGAAATTGCGACTGATATGTTTGCCGATGCAACTAACATTTCATCTTTGGTAACAAAGCAAAAATTCTGGTTTAGTTGCCATAATGGCAACTACATTTCTCTGTGTTGACGATCAATAACTGTTATTTTGTCACACATTATGCCATTCTAGAAAATGATATTGAAAGATCTTTGCTTCTAAAACATTCAACATAACAAAAGAAGTCAATCCATCCTTTTGCTTCTCTCACATTGGAAAACTTCAAAATGGCTAACCATGTTCGAAATCGCCCTATGATGCATTGCAAACCCTTGATCATTGACTATGTTATGTATGCCTATGGATTGCACTCTTATAATACACGGATCCTTCATGTACTAGTATCTGATTCAAAAGAAACTTTATTGAGTAGAAACACTTCAAGAAGCACTTACTATTAAATTCTCATAGATCCTAATAAACTGTTTTATTTTGCTTGGTACCCTGATGCATTTTTTCGTTCAGTAGCTTTCAATTTATTGGCCCCTTTCCTAAAACAGTGGCCCCTAAAAATGGTCTTCAGGGGCCACTTTAACCCTCAAGTAAAATTTTCTGGCTGAAACACTGCATGGGAAATTGGGAAAGGAAATAATGTCTATAAAGTGGATTTCCACAATACATACTTAACTGATAAATGACTCTTCCAAAACAGAATACCCTTTGTTAATTCTAAATTTCATTACAACAAAAATTACAACAAAGCTCTATAAATTTGGGTAAAACACTTCTCCAAATAACATGCAAATGAAAAACCGCACAGACATAAATCTTGTGACGGGGTGGAGGCCCTGGACCCGGGACCTCCAGATTACAACACCAGTGCCCTAAACCACTCAGCTACACTGCCTCCACACTGTATTTTGTGCCCGTTGCATCATCGTGTTTTCATAGCTATCTTCGGTCATCTTGCAGTTTTAATTCCCAGTCAGGCCAACCTAGTTTTTATGGGAGGGTGGCATAACCCAAGACCCCCTAGGATGAGGGGCCTTGGGGCCCCTAATTCATCACAGCCGCCTTCCCCTCCAGCTGCAGATGCCTACTTCAAAACATTTTGAAACCCCTGTTCACTTTCTCCTATTTTAGTTCCATCAGTTTGAGGATTTTTGCAAATTGAAAGTGCTAACATGGTTTAATGGCTAAAAGAAAGAGATAGGGAGAAAGGGGGTCTCTGCCCCTTTGTAATTGAAAATAATCTGATGAAAGCCATTATTTATTACACAGCTTTGAATTTTTTGATAGAATGTGCTGGCCCAATGAATCAAAAAAATCAAAATCAGAATACTAGGATGTTTTTTTTTATCTCTGTGAACACCATTATATCCAAAATTGACCTAACTGACTCTCCAATGTCACAATCTTTTACATAACCTGTTTGATTGTGATGTATGATGCTGGGCAAAACATTTTTACTGTCACTGCAATTACTTTTGAAATTTTTTTCACGTCAACATTGAGGAGAGAGGTCAGTTGCCAATTGCTGTTTGATCTTTACCTTGCTTCTCAATTTAAGTGATAACTGCTTTCCTTTGAGAGCTGGACATTTCTCCATATTTAAAGGACTCCCGCTTGTACTTTCTATAATAGAGTCCCCAATTAATTCCCAACAGGTTTTATAATATTCAATTGGTAATCCATCATCACCTGGTGATTTGTTATTCTGAAAGCTATCTAGGATTAATTTTATTTCCTCAGGGGATATTTTATCTCCACAAGATGCACCTTATGGTTGTATCATTTTAATTTATTGAGATAGTTGAATGATGTTCAGGTTGCTTAGAAACATTTCTTTAGTGTTGCAGTCCATGTTGGTAGATCTTGATTTATATGGGTCGCGATAAAAGCATCTCTGTTTATGAAATATTTTGTAGGGATTAGTAACTGTTGTAATAACACCACATACAAGTAACTTTCTTATGTTTCGTTCTTTGGCATTTTGTTTAAAATAAGAAATGGCATGGTCCCGAATGTTATATTTCAGCCAATTCCATTGTTAATCTGATAAGTTATTAGCTCCCATTGTTTTCCATTGTGGGAACTTATTTTTCAAGTCATCAAGATAATTTCCATCTTCAAGAGGTGAGACATTCATTTTCCAAATGCCACAGCCTTTAAGGACGGTGCCTACTGAATACAAAGGCTTTTGCACCAGATTAAGACTGTGCGGAAAAAGTAGATCTTTGCAAGGGCTATTGGAATCCACAAAGAAAAATGGGGGTAGCCACACATTTTTTTGAGATAATTAGCCTTGAATCTCAACAGAAATGCTAACATCAGCATTTTTCTGAAAAAGAAGGAGAGGATAGTTCTTCACAAATTTCCTAAGAATTCACCTTTATGTACAGAAAAACAAACACATTTATAAATATCTTAAAACTACTTGGTGAAACATAACATAAAAACCATTTTTGGTATGTTTTTAATGACAAAATGGTTGCCACAGCACTTTTGGTGTCTCTGACAGCCTTCCTCTGGTTCAGCTAAAATACAGTCTAAACAGCTTTTCCTCACAACCAGAAACTAATCACGTGTTGAATAGGCTTGCCACTTCCATTTCATAACATAAAATGTAGGGGTAACTGCACGTTTTTTAAAGTTATTCATCGTTTTTGAAAACTTTATGGTGCCTGTTACATTTTTTCCCGTCATCTCCCCAGTAAGTTAAATTTTTGCGTCTCTTGCACTTGTTTTGCACACGCACTATGCCATCTGCAGGTACATGTTTTCATTTGGATTTCAGTATAATTTTTGACAGATAACAGCTAGTTTTTTTAACCTGAAGCCGTTAACAGCTAGTGGTCAGCGATATGCTATTCTGGTATTCCTGGTTTTAGTACAGGTTCATTAAACTTGATTTGGTCACAGCAGGAAACTTTTGCTTTCATTTTAGTCGCGTACTTGGTAGCATAGTTGATTACGTCAATGCCAACCCTAGCACACGCATGGAGTAAACCATGTCTTGCATGATGCGCAGAATGTGTGTGCACAATAGTAGCCACCGTCCTTAACACGCTGATACGAATTGGTTGAAGCTAGCCCAATCGCTGCGTGATCTGTTTTTATCGCTGGAATAATATTTGTTGAATTCACAAAGTCCTGCGGGTTGTTTGATGTTAGCCAAAACTATAGTCCAAGTGACTAAATATCACCTCAAAACAGAATACCTGGATCCCTCATAATATAATTTAAGTTTGTTTTTGCAAGACAGACATCACAGAAAGTATCCTGCAAGCCTTGAACCCGTTTGGATGGTTTTTTTCCCCCAAGTGCTGTTGCTAAAATCATGAGTGTTTTACCTGTGTTTGTATTATCCAAGGCACATGACTTGCATCTTCTTGCAAGACTTTACTCGGCAGGTATATTTTGCAGGCTGCAGGTTGCAGGTTGAAATTTAATTATAACTGGAAAACTGCTGGCACTTACAGGTGGTAGACTTACTGTAACTGTTACATGAGCGATGGGAGGAGAGTATACTCCTATTATTTTAAGCCTGCAATGAATTATCGTTTTTGAAGAAACATCTGAAATATCATCTGAAATATCTGCTGAATTTGGTTATTTCTTCCCTGTGAGTACCAAAATAAAAGCACACTGAGTTTGTGCTAGTATATTCCGTCGGTTAAAATCTTAAGACTTATATCATTTCATTTCTTTATTTATTTGCTTTATTTGTGATGGCAATCTTCTGTTGTTGAGGGAAGACCCGAGCCAAATCTGGAATCGATGGAAACATCTATGGAACGGCCATCCAGATGGCTTTGAAGAAATTTCACTGGTCTCATAAGTACTTATAGCGGATCGATCATGTTCTCAATATGTGAAAGACGCGAACTACTTTATGTAAGAACCTCTGACCAGTATATAGGTTATTAATTATTTTTAGTGCCAGCGGTTTTCCAGTTAAAATTAAATTGCAACTTGCAACCTGCAACCTGCAACCTGCAACCTGCAAAATATACCTGCTGGACTTTACTTCTGAAGGGTTTTCTACCAGAAAGTTAAAAGACAGTTGAAATCTTTCTGGGCTGTTGTTGGTATTTCTTGTCCTCAAAATCACATCAGCTTTGCTTAATTTTAATCATGTTTTAAAAGTGTTGCTAAAAAATTATACTATTTTTAACAGGTAGAAAAGATGGCCAGCTTATACAATATTCACCTAAGGACAGGTTGCTTTTGCAACACAGGGGCCTGTCAGAAATTTCTGAGCCTATCAAATAAGCAAGTGAAGGACAATCTGTCTGCAGGTCACGTGTGTGGGGATGATGTAGATCTTATTGAAGGAAAACCTACTGGCTCGGTGAGAATCTCATTTGGCTACATGTCAAACTTTGCTGATGCAAAAACATTTCTAAATTTCCTTGAAGAATGCTTTCTAGATGGTGACTTAAATGTCACCTCTAGTGCACAGGACAGTTTGCACAGTGATGCTATGTTAACCACAGAATCAGTACTGGGCAAACATTTTCAAGATACAGTTGCACCTGCTTGTCACAAAAAGAGTGCTTCAAATGACATCCGTAGCAACTTCCAACAGGATTTAGCTGTAGATTCAACGACAGAGCAGAAAAATTATCCTACAGCATCTGCCAATGCTAAAATGCTTGATGATTGCCAAGTGTTTAAATCTCAGCTTCCTAAGTCTGTCCACAGTGTCCATCATTCAGAGGACCTAAGGCTGATGAAGATTTGCATTTATCCCATCAAGTCTTGTGCAGCTTTTGAGGTAATAATATATCGATTTAGCAAAGTCTAAAAGCGGAGCTCCTGGGTTGGGTTGCTCAAAGCTCAATAAAGATAACCCAGGATAAGCGAGAATTTTGATTTGAGTTTTGTAACTTTCCGTTGAGGTTTTCTGTATATTGTTTGGCCTTCTGCTTTGAGTTTGAATAATCTCAAGTTGCACAAAACAAAAGCAGTGAAAAATTTTTGTGTACAAGAAAAAATTACTAAATACTTTTAATCCTGGGTTAACTTTAGCCAGCCTCCAAACAACTATTTACAACAAGTTAACCTGCGTGAGCCCGCGATCCAACTCAAAACTAGCACTTGGTCAGCGTCAACTTTAAAAACCATGTGATGTTGATGAGCTCTAAACTTGAGCCCATGATATGGTCACGTGGTACTGGTCAGTGGATACCTTGTTTTGACAGGTCAATTGACCATAACATGGATGTCCAATATCAAAGAAGTATCCTATAAAACAAGGATGCATGTTGCTGTCAACCTACTAGCTGGAGTATGGCCACCTTCTTGCGTGACTCCACCGTCGGCAGTACCCTAGCGGTATCGCCTAAGAGCAATACCACTAGCCACGATAGCCACGAGAAAATGAATGCATGGGTTTCCTTTACTTTCCTGTATGGGTATGGTGCTCTGCTTGATGGCTCAGCTCTGCTATTATTTATGGCTAACTTGCCGCATTGGGATTTACCATTTAATTAATAGACATTTTAAATGTGGAAATTTTAGTAGACATTTTAAATGGATTGGGTGCTTCCCTGTTCTATTGGTTTGGTTCCCTGGGACGGTGTTACTCCCTATAATGGCCTATACAGGGAAGCTCCGCCCGAAAGGGTAGGAACTTCATGAGTTGAGGTGTATGAAAGGGTAGGGAAATCTGTCATTTAGGTATTTAAAAGGGCCTCTAATTTAAATATTTAGTACAAATGCACCTTATGGCTGTATCATTTAATTTATTAAGCACTACATGAAAACTGATAAGAAGACTTCCATTTTTGGAGATTTAGTTATAAGATGGGTTAGTTACAGCAGTAATAGTGTTTGTAAGTAGGTATGTAAAAGGAGTACTTTTTCAATAATAGGTATACCAAAGGGGTACCTCCTTTTTTTGTCAAAATGTACATAAAAAGGTAAGGGGTGGACCTCAGGGTGGAGTCTTTCCTGAGGGTTTAATTGATCAACTTTTTAACTGCCATCAAAATTTGTAAAAGCAATTGATTAAGTGAACTTTTTCAGTTGTGATATGTCACCAATATTCAACACTGTTTTTAACCTGATGACTTAAATGCAAGAAAATATATGGACGGCAAATTCAATGAACATGCACTAATGCTAAGAACACAGGAACAGTGTACTCTTTTAAAAAAAGCTAAACCACCTACATATAGAGTAACTGCTAGGCACTTAAATTGCTGCCTGCTAAAGGACAAAACAGTAACTGACAACTGCAAAAGGCATAATGCTGGCTGGAAGAATTTGCCATTTGAGTCAGCAATGTTAGTATAGGCAAGTGTATGAATGCAAGTGCAATTAAGGATTTACACTACCAGAGATATTTGAAAATTCTCACAAAATTGCACAAACCTTTAGGCGAGTGCAATTTGAAAGAATTTGCAAATATCAGGAGTACGATGTTTTAACATGCTCAGACATCAATGAAAAAAAACAGTATGAATATTCTATAAGTACAAGAAAAACAGTTCATTAAAAAGAAAAGTAATATAAAAATATGCTACAAGCTAAACAAAGAGTTAAGCACTGATGGAGTCACTCTGAGTGTTAAGGCTAGGTCTCAATTCTTTGATGAATAGCATTTCGTAAACGAGGCAGTCAAATTTCCTGTGGCACTTCTTGAGAACACAAAATTGGCCCTCATTAAGAAGGTTTTTGTCATCGTTCACATCTAAAATATGTTTACCGATAGCCAAATAGTTGTATTTAGCAATGCATTGACAAAGGTGTCGGGCTCTATAGCCAACATAATCTGCATCACACAGATCACATGCAAATTTACAAACAATGCAATGCTGACTTACAATACTTGGAGTAATTTCTTTCAGCTTAATTATGATCTTGCTCCAATTTTTTGCTCACAAAAATAGGCTGTAAAGTGACAGCAATCTTACTGCTGAGATCATGTAATTGCCATTGGACTGCATTAGCTCTGATCTTTGAAGGAAAGAACTATTCTGATTGCGTTGACATCAGTTTTCTTTTCTGGTTTAGTTGCAATATTTTGAATAAACATATTAATTGTGGAATTTATGAGGCCAATTTGATAATCAAATTGGGAGAATATAGAGCGTAAGTTGGCATATTCCTCATTAAAGGCTTCTGTCGTAGGTGACAGGGCATAGGCATGATGTAACGTGGCTGAGAAAGTCCCAAAAGCGTGCCTGTTAATTTCCAATTAATTTGCACTGCAGTGCAAATTAAAAATTAGGATAAATTGGCTGCTGTCAGCCAATCACAGTTTAAAAATGTAAAAAGTAAACTATACAGAGTAGTATATAGGGGGTCAGACAAATACTGTTTCGCAGAGGAAGAAGTATTTCCTTGTTTTACAGCCCCCAGCTTTAAGTCCAAACCTCACAAGCTCGGTTCGGTTGAACCAGGGGGCTGTAAAACGAGGAAATACTTCTTCCTCTTTGAAACAGTATTTGTCTGACCCCCTATATACTACTTACAACAACGGGGAGGGAGGGAGGAGCACAATAGACCATTTTACAGTTGTCTGCTCAGTGACCTGGCCTTTGTATGGCAGCGAGGCTAGAGTTGACCTTGTTTTGATACAGACTTCACTGCTTTT